ATAAACGATCCAAATAATGTTTTTGGGTTAAAATGAGAACTGCTATTTTTGTTTTATGTTTCTGACTTCATCTGAATGTAATATTCTAAGATTGGAATCTGCCAACGGCTGGTTGGCAGAATTCCAATGCTATGCATGTCGCTCATTGGCTAAAAGTGCTGCTCTCAGCCAATAGGAATCCTAAGTCTCTATGGACCACCCGTCGTGGTGGTCGTAAATGTATGTAGCCATTGGTGTACCTTACACCAAGGTCGAGGAAGTGTTCAAACCTCGAACAGACATCGCATCTGTTAGAGTAACAAGTGACTGTAGCCACTTGTGCGTGTAACCCTGTTACACGGTGGACGACCTGTGACCAAGGTAAACCTGGTTGGGCTCCATGGTTGCAGGGTGCGAACAGAGTGTTGTACGGATGCAGAGAGGGAACGTCGATCCAACAGTTGCGCCAAGGTTCATGGGCGTCGAGAGTCCTCAATCGACCGGATACGGCCTAACCGGCGATCGTTTCTCCTCTCGATCAACCTCGATGCCGCTATAGGAAGCGGCAAGCAACTCAGGAAAGGAAGGAACACAACCGGAAAGGCAACTACAGGCCTTGGCTCAGCTCCAGGCCGACCGATCGCAGCGAAGAACCCTCGATCGGAGCGAACATTCGGACGCAGAGCGAAGATTCCCGCGCTGCTCCACAAACTATCCCCGCGTCACGCCAAGACACTTGATCTTCACCAAGTGCTGCATCTCCGGAGCCCCGAGAGAGCAGATCCAGCCCGCCGATGGGTACACAAGGTGAGAACAAGTTCAGCCGATCGCGGATCGTTGGGTCTTGGGGGACCCCTCCGTTAGTCGGTGTCTGGGCGCTGGTGGGAAGCTCGATCAGGCCTTAACCGGATTTTGGCCGATCCCGCTACATCACACGTGAAGCCGAATCCGTCCAAGCAGGCTCCGCTTCGACCTCTTCCAGTCGCCACGGACGTATGGACGTCTGTCAGCATGGACTTCGTCTTCGGGCTGCCCCGAGACACTCAAGGGTGCACTGGTGTGCTTGCCTTCGTCGACCGTTTCAGCAAAATGCTCCATCTTGCTCCTGTCTCCGCTAACATCACGGCGAAACAGACTGCCGCGATCTTCGTCGACATGGTGAATCGCCACCACGGGCTCCCGTCATCCATCGTATCGGATCGCGACCCGTGCTTCACGTCCGCCTTCTGGCGCGAGCTTTTCCATTTGTTGGGGACGCGGCTAAGCATGTCCACCGCGTCGCACCCGGAGACGGACGGCCAAACTGAGCGAGCCAACCGTGTCGTTGAAGATGTACTACGTAGCTTCGCTACGTTGTTCAAGTCGTGGAGCACCTTCCTGTCCCTGGTCGAATTCGCTCTCAATAACTGTTATGGGCCTACTTTGGCCCACTACTTTAGCTTACATGTATGTGAGGAAGCGTAGCTTAGTTTAAATTAGAGTTAATTATACTCGGGCCTCCGAGTGTAGATTAATCTAAATAAACGATCCAAATAATGTTTTTGGGTTAAAATGAGAACTGCTATTTTTGTTTTATGTTTCTGACTTCCTCTAAATGTAATATTCTAAAATAGGAATCTGCCAACGGCTGGTTGGCAGAATTCCAATGCTATGCATGTCGCTCATTGGCTAAAAGTGCTGCTCTCAGCCATAGGAATCCTAAGTCTCTATGGACCACCCGTCGTGGTGGTCGTAAATGTATGTAGCCATTGGTGTACTTTACACCAAGGTCGAGGAAGTGTGCAAACCTCGAACAGACATCGCATCTGTTAGAGTAACAAGCTCTGTAGCCACTTGTGCATATAACCCTGTTACACGGTGGACGACCTGTGACCAAGGTAAACCTGGTTGGGCTCCATGGTTGCAGGGTGCGAACAGAGTGTTGTACGGATGCAGAGAGGGAACGTCGATCCAACAGTTGCGCCAAGGTTCATGGGCGTCGAGAGTCCTCAATCGACCGGATACGGCCTAACCGGCGATCGTTTCTCCTCTCGATCAACCTCGATGCCGCTATAGGAAGCGGCAAGCAACTCAGGAAAGGAAGGAACACAACCGGAAAGGCAACTACAGGCCTTGGCTCAGCTCCAGGCCGATCGATGGCAGCGAAGAACCCTCGATCGGAGCGAACATTCGGACGCAGAGCGAAGATTCCCGCGCTGCTCCACAAACTATCCCCGCGTCACGCCAAGACACTTGATCTTCACCAAGTGCTGCATCTCCGGAGCCCCGAGAGAGCAGATCCAGCCCGCCGATGGGTACACAAGGTGATAACAAGTTCAGCCGATCGCGGATCGTTGGGTCTTGGGGGACCCCCTCCGTTAGTCGGTGTCTGGGCGCTGGTGGGAAGCTCGATCAGGCCTTAACC